AATTTAATATTGAACTGAGTGAAGAATAAATGAGTGAAAATCCTCCTCTCTCTAATTAGTTTAACTTTGAAAAAGCTGATTGAAAGACAGTTGAAGAAAGTATAAAACTGTTAAAATCTGAAAGATGAAGTGAGCTATATTGAAATTCTGATCAAGATATCTCAAATGAAATGCTTAAGAATAGAGTGAAGCTCATTACATCTATTATTTTAATAAGTATTAAAGATAATATTTTAAAGAGAAAGTCTTCTGAGTATTCAAAATCTTGATACAATGAGAATATTATATCTAAAAGGAAATAATTAGCTACTACTAAAAGAGATTGAAAGAATGATGTAATTTCTGATAAAGAGTTCAAAGCTGTCAGAAATGAATATTTTTCAGATATTAAAAGAGTAAAAATAGACTGCTGAAATAAATTTCTTGAAGAAGTATAAGAATAGAAAGTTTTTAAAGCTTTTAACTATACTAAAATAAGAAGTGTAGTAAAACTTTCAGCCTTAGAATGTGAGTTTCAGAATGAATTATATACAGCAAACTCTTCTGAGAAAAAATATTAAGCTTTTATAAGAACTCTCTTTCAAAACTCATCAGATTCAGATTCAGACAAAGAGAATATATCACTTCTTAACTATATTGATAAAAATGACTGAGAATGACTTGATTTTATATAAGATGAATTAGAGTCAGTTATTTTCTCAAGTTCAGTTAAAACTGCTGCAGGGCCTGATTCAATTAATCACTTGATTATTCAAAATACATACTTCTACTTAAAGAATGAATATTTTAAGCTCTTTTTCAATCTCTTGAAAAATGAATATTATTCTGAATACTGAAGAGAAGTTACTGAAGTGATTCTTATAAAATCTAATAGAAAAACTTTAATTTCTAAGTCATATAGAGTAATATCTCTATTGAACTGTCTAGAAAAGTTTTTGAAAAAGATAATAGCTACTTAACTATCTTTTATAAGCTCTATTAGTAATTCTCTTTTATTCAGTGAATAAATAAGAGATAGAAAACAATGTTCTGTAATTGATACTGTTCTCTCAGTTATTTATAATATTTAAATAGCAAAGTATGAAGATCTAGTCTCAACTGCAGTTTTTATTAATATAAAAAAAGCATTTGATTATATTTCAAAGTCAAAGTTAATTCAGACTTTGAAGATATTAAAACTGTCACTTTCTCTAATAAAATAGATTAACTGTTTTATATCTAAAAGAATCATACAACTTTTCTTTGATAAAATGAAATAAGACAAGACTGAGATAAAAATAGAAGTACTGTAAGAATATTCAATCTCACTCATTTTATTACAATATACACTGCATATCTATTCAAAAATAGAAATATAAGAATAGTGAAATCTTCAAGTTATATGAATGATATTGATCTAGTCTACAGCTCAAAGACTATCAAAGAGAATTTGAAAGTGATTGAAAAAGCTGTAAAGAAAATCTTTATTAGAGTAGATATTAATTAAATTTGATTTAATATGAATAAAACTGAGTTAATTCATTTCTTTTCTAGATTCAATGAGAAAGAACTATCTCTAACTCTTTTAAATAGAGAGATTAAACCCAGTTTAAATATTAAATAATTAGAAGTATGATTAAAATCTAAGTTGAATTTTAAATATCATATTCAACAAAGAACTGTTAAGATAGAAAGACTATTGAATAACATAATCAGACTATTAAATACAGAGAGAGGTCTATTCTTCCAGACTATGAAACAGTGATATATAGCCTGTATTATCTCAGTAGCTGATTATGAAGTTCAAGTTTGATGAAATAATCAAGAGAATTTCACTGAACTCTTTCAAAGTCTGTAAAACAGAGCTTTGAGAAGAATTCTGACAGTATTTAAATCATCTTCTATTAAAGTAATGAAAATTGAAGCTTTAATTCTCTCTTCTACTATTAAATTTGAAAAGGCCTGTATAAACTATGCTGTGAGAGTTATAAAGATAAGCTCAAATCATATAATCAGAGAAAGAGTCTCTTCTTCATTTTTATCAATTAACTCTGAAAATGAACTGAATTGAAATAGATTTCTTGATTAAAATGAAAATAATTCTTTAAAGAAAATATCTTCTCAACTGTACAGACTATACTCACTGATTAAAAATCAATTTTCTTCTTTAAATGTTGAAAAAGTTGATCATGAAAAGATATCTCTCTGAAGAGAAAAGCTTGAATCTCTTATAGACTTATAAATAAGTGAACTATCTAAGAAGAAAGAATATAAATAGTATTTGAAGAGAATTTCTACAATCAATATAGAAGACTCTATTCTGATTTATTCAGATGACTTTAAAAATGAGAATTTGAATAGATTAGATGCAGACATTGCTTATACTGAAGATAATATCAATTTTATCTCAGATTTCTGGAATTTAGGCTGTGAATCTGAAGTCTTTGATACTCAACTATTTATAATAGTGAAAACTTTCAAACTCATTGAAATAAAATCTCATAAAAGAGGAAATAGTTTGAAAGAGATATGAATATTCTCTGATAGTCAAGCTGCTTTAAAAAGACTTAGAAATAGTCAGATTTATAGTGATTAAATGAATCTTAAACTGATTTTAAACTCTGTTTTGAAAATTCAAAAGAGAAGAATATCAAAGCTGATAATTCATCTACACTAAGTTCCTGCTTATATGAATATTCATGACAATGAATTGACTGATTCAGCTGTAAAAAAGAGTTTAGAATTAAGTAGATCTATTCAAAAAATTATGTTCTGATCTTTTATAAAGAGAAAAATAAAAGAATTTTATTTAGATAAGTGAAATGAAAGCTGACAGAAACAAAAGAAGAGTATATATTATTCAAGATTTAAAATAAAACTCAAGTGAAAATCTTATTTAATTAAATATAAAAAGAAAGTATTCTCATCTATAATACAGCTGAAACTAGAATATGACTATTTCAAATCTTATATACAAAGATTTAATAATAGATTTGATTCAATAGAATGCTCATTCTGCAATGTAAATGAGAATTCTGAGTATATTATAATGCACTGTGTATTATACAATAGTCTCAGAGTCAGATTGAAAGAGAAGTATGATCTAAATCAATTAAATATGAGATTCTTATTCTCAACTAAGACAGAAATTAAATACTTAATAGACTTTCTATCAGAAACTCAAGCAGCTATAAGAAAATGATTAAATTCAGAAATATCTGAATATAAAGAGAAGAAAATCAATCAGATATAGTTTGTTAAAACAGCTATATACTATCTTTTAATATTTTGTTTTATTACAGTCTCTCTTTACTTTATCTTTTTCTTTCAATTCTTTTCTATCTATCTATTTAATATATCTATCTTTAAGACTGTATTCTCTTTTCTTTCATCATGATATTGTCAAATGATTTCAAAGTATCAGAAGATGTTAAAATACTGTAATTTATAAACAGTTTTTATATTCTAAGCTGGAATTTTCTGATTTTACACATCTGAAATTGATGAATGTATAATAGTTAACTTTACAGATATAGAAAAAACTCTGAGAACTAAAAGTTCTCAGATAGATGTCATTGTCTCTAACTATATACATCTATAATTGAAGAATAATAATAATAATTCACTTATTATTTATATAGAATAACTAGATATTGACTTCTTATTAAAGAAGTCAGTGATTCATTTTCTTCTACTGAAATATATACAAGAGTTACTGTGTTTCTTATATAATCTTCTTAGTATACTAAGTATTATATCTGTGATATTCTTGTAATAACTCTGTAGTCTATGAGCTTACTATTTAAGTAAGATAGTTAAGCTTACTTATACAGCTTTTTAAATAACTACTTTTATATAATACTACTGACTAGTCACTACTTCAGTTCTATTATATTATAAATATATATATTCTATTTTATTTATATTCACTAAATATATTAATAAATCTTGAGACTAAAATAACTAATATTAAAAGAAATTTTAAAGACTTCATTAATAATAAAATATTTATAGATATTATTATTTATATTCAGTAGTTAGAAATAAATATTACTAATCTTATTAGAGATATTCAGTTCATATAATTTTATCTTAGTAACAGTGATTATAAGTTAATAGTAAGTATCTGAGACTGAGAGTATATCTTTTATACAGATAGCTTTTAGAGTTTTCAGACATTAAATAAGTTATATATTAATATTAGTTATTTAATAATTCTAAGTAATTAATTTGTTAACTTAATCTATAAGAGCTTGAATTTGAGTAATTTAACTGAGTGTTATTTTTTTACTGTGAAACACTGCATATGAACATGTAAGAGAAGAAAAAAAAAATACTGTAGATTTATAACTAATAGTAAGATTTCAAGATTCAGTAATATTACAGAATGAAGACTAGCTCTATCAGAGTGAATAACAGCAGTATATTAAATTATATTGAAACTGAATCTTGAGAAAGAAGAAGAAGAAACTATTGAAGCTAGAGATGAGCGGGTGGATATGGAGTGACGAGCCTTGTGTGGGTCACCTGACCATGCCCTATGCCCTAAGATTCTTATATAGAGCTCCTTACATTTGTAAGCATATTTGGAAGCGGCCGCATTATTATCCGGCGGCCGAACATTCTTCCGAACCATACTATATAATATATTGAATTCTTATATTAAAAATTTGATTTTTGGTTTTGAATTGTGTTTATATATGTCAATAGCGTCTTGAATCTGTTTCTCAATGATTTCATTCCCCGTAGGCATGTTGGGGTGGATTAATTGATAATAATAATGATATGATTGATGAAAACAATAAAAATAGTATTACGCACCCATTGGATGTGGTGGGTTTTTAGCGTTGGCACGTGTAATCTTCAGTCAAACAAGAGCTCGACCACCTTTCCACACTACTACTACGTTCATCGAGGCGGTTGGACCCTGCGGGCAACAGGGCCTGTCCCTTGCAGATAAGACCTCCTTGGTGGTTTTCCCGAGGGATTACCGCTCCAAGGTGTGTCGGCGATCATGATAAAGAGCCTTGGAAATGGTAGTTATGTACTGTACTTACTCACATTTGGATAATCCCTGCTTGCCTTGGTATTCGCACCTCATCCATATTAGCCAACTGTAGTTACTCTAATCCTCAAGGTGTAATAACACCCCGGACGTTCCAAACCATCCTCCACAGAACGATTGGCTCTTGGAACTAATATTAACTTCAACCAGGAGGATTGCTGGCCAACTACGGAGTAGTCTATACAAATTCTAGTAAATGGTTTATTCAGGCGATGATGTAGAACTGTTGAACAATTCAATTTGTGGGCGATCCCGATCGGCTTCCACCATGGGTTGGTTTTCTCTGATTTTTCGTTGCTTGTCGCGGAGTCCAGTATTAAGTACATGTACATACATTACATACAGGCACGTACGAATGTTACGGAGTACAGTACCATAGTGGTATTTGAGGCTTGGATGCCCCATCACCATCCAACCATCCACCATCACCAAGCGGCAGCACAAGCCATCAGCGCCAAGGGTTCGGCTGCTGCAACTTAATTTCTTCGAAGGCATTTCACCATTGGAGCCGAAACTCGACAGGCTCCACCAGCATGAGTCTGGAAGGGGGGTCAAGGCCTGGGAAGATGGGCTCCCGGCCCCAAGATTTTCCAGCGTTTCCACACGCACTCTTGGGTTTCGCCTCTAGGTTTTGTCTGCTGGCGTTGCGGTGACAGCATGCTTCGACCGTGGCTTTTTCTGCAGAACTCATCTTGAACTGTTTCGAATCCACGTGAACAAGTTGGGGCAACTCAATAAGTCCGACATCCATGATATGATGGCGGGGATGAAGGTAAAACAACACCTTGGGCCGCGATGAGTCGACAACAGCTTAGGCGAGCAGACTAGGCGCGGACAGAGTTTCCCTCCTCTGTAGTTCGAAAACCAAGCCCTGCCCCCTCCCCTCCACTCATGTTTTCTAGACAGCCTCGATGTTCCAACGAGAAGGGATTGGCGTAGTTCAGTTAGTGAGCCTATCGAGTGTCAGTGTCTCCGTACTCCTGTGCATTTCAGCACTTAGCCAGATCCCCAATCTCACTCACTTTAGAGTCACCCACCCATACTTCGAAGTTGCAAATGAAGGTTTAATAATAGCCGGCCCTCCCTGTTACAAATTTCTCTTGGGGCTGACCAGGTTCCATGAAATTTGATCTCCCCTCGTCGTTGAACGGGGGTTTTGAGAGCTCATTACCCTCGCTATCTCGCGGCGGCGGTAGGAGAAGATATCTGGGGCCTTCTCCCGCATGTGCCTCCTCAAACCATCCTCCTCCTCCCCACCAACCACCAACCTCTCGCCCATCGCCTCATCTCTCTACTCCGTTTCCTTCCCTCACTCTCTTCCGCCACCACTGACTCACTTACTCTCGAGATACATATCATTCTTTAGCCCTAGCCCTTCCGAGCCTGCCATTTCAAGGTTACGACCGTGGAACTTTAATAACCCTCTTTTCTTCCCGCGCTCTACCATGGTTATTATGTTCCGCCGGAAAGACTCAAAACTGTCCACCAGCGACGAGAAAGACGACCGCGAGTCTTTTATGTCATCCAGCAGTGCAAGAACTTCAAATGCATCGCTGAAGGTTCCCATGTCTATGAAGACTGTAAATGGCGCATCTGTGCCAATCCCGGAAGTCCCAATCGCACCCCCACCAGACCCCAACTTAGACCCAGCGGCGTATCTACGAAGTATCCATGCTGTTCGCCAGCGATCGAAAGTGGTTATGCAGAGAGCGAAGAGGAACCAACTGAATCATTTCGACATCGATTTTAGCAAGTTTGCAGGCACAGCTCAATACGTTGCTTCTATTATCAAGGTACGTGGAGGGTGATCTCCACCATCTCCATCTAGTTTTCTTTCCCTGCCTGCCTGGGTCACCACCCTTCTGATATTCTTTGATCGGAAATTTATAGCGCGATTACGCACCGGATTTTCATGCCATACCTGCCCATGGACGCTGGCATCATTTTGACATTGGCGGGAGACCTCGAATCAATCAACTCCTACAATCATGGCCCAGTACCGTTGACACGTTCGAACGGACCAGGCGATTGATTGACCTCTTTCTCGTATCTGTCTTGTTAGACGCTGGATCTGGGAGTAAGTGGTCGTATAAATCTAAAGAATCCGGGAAAATCTATAGAAGAAGTGAAGGTCTTGCGGTGGCAAGCCTAGAGATGTTCAAGACTGGCTTGTTCAGTAGTGATCCCACAGAGCCATGCCAAGTTGACGGCGCGGGCTTGAAAAAGATCACTGTAGACTTAATTGCGAAAGGAATGCAACATTCCGAACAGAATACACTGCCTGGGCTGGAAGGCCGTGCTGGTTTGTTGATACGGTTGTCAGAAGCATTGAACAACCAAGAATTTTTCGGGGCTAATGCAAGGCCAGGAAACATGCTGGGTATGGAGTCTAATATGCTTCTCGCACAATCCTTCATTCCACTATCCTAACCAATATTTGCAGACTACCTACTTTCTCACAATACAACCCTCGCATCATCCGTACCTATCATTTCCATTCCGACGCTGTGGTCCGTACTCATGGACGGCCTATCGTCGATTTGGCCCCCGTCTCGAACCCAGATTGATGGTGTTTATATCGGAGACGCTTGGCCCTGTTCCATTCTATCCTCGTCACCCGCAGCGAAACCTTGGGAGACTATTATTCCGTTCCACAAATTGACCCAATGGCTCTGCTACTCGCTCATGGCTCCGATGACAAAAGTAATGAACATTAAATTTTCTGGGACCGAACTTTTGACGGGGCTACCTGAATATCGGAACGGGGGACTTCTCATCGATATGGGCCTCTTGAACCTCAAGCCCGAGGACGCTGAGCGAGGGCTCCAGGCGTATAGATCCAATGCAATGATCAAAGGTCAACCAAACGTGGAAGTTGTTCCACTTTTCACGGCCGACGATGACGTGATTGTGGAATGGAGAGCTCTCACAGTCGGATTCTTGGACGAGTTGCTTGCGGAAGTGAATAGTTTATTAGAGCTACCGGCTGGGGAGCGTTTATGTCTCGCTCAAATGCTCGAGGCCGGAACTTGGAAGGTAAGTAATGATTATCTAGAGGTGCCCCATAATACATCACTAATATGTCGTTTAGGGAGGGCGCGAAATTGCGGAGGTGTCTCGGCCAAACACTAAAGAGCCCCCAATTATGATTCTTTCCGATGGAACTGTTTTTTAACACTGAAATCCTTTTGTTGCGTTTTTCATGTCCTTTTCTTTTCTTTTCATTTCTTTTTTTTTTTTTTTCGCGGTGACAACATTGGACCTTATTTAATGATAATGATAACTCCTCATTGGGCTCCTTCGACGACATTTATTTCCTTACCTTTTTTTTATACTTTTCTATTCTCCCCAACTTTCTTTAGTTGCCACCTTTTTGGATATTCAGATTGAGCGTTGCTGAGGGGTGCTGGACAGAACTTTTTCTTCTGCAAAATATTGGATTGCTGAATCCCTATGTGGATCCCCTTCATATTTAAATGACATATACATGCAGGACCGCGACCAATGACATTGTCGTACATGGCTCATTGTCATTGCTTATTTTTTTGTGGGAGAGGAGGGAGGGAAAAGCAAGTTGCTAGTTGATGGAAAACGCGAACCTATAATTAGCGCGTTTAAAGCAGGAGTGAGCCATATTTGTGAAATGCCCATTCCGTGACACCTCTTCTGTAAGAAAACGCGGCCTCCACTCATTTTATAGGAATCCAGTAGGCATATACTCTGTAACGCGAATAACATTCAAAGCAGAGCGATTCGGAGAATCGTTCACACTCGACGGGAATTAGCAAGTCACGTGCCTCTATCGTCAACAAGGTTGGGAAATTTCACTGCCCAGCTTCTCGAATGTTAACCAATGTCAATACTGTCTGGTCTGACCATTGAAGCATACCATAGGGACAAAACAACCGAATGCGCAACTTCCCACCCTAAATATGAATTGGGTGTTTGGCCAAGATTGAGGCCAGGAGCATCTGAGCGCAACGTCACGTTTACCCCAGCTTCTTCCCCCGCAAAAGCTTCAATGATATGCGCATCTAGCTTCCTCATCAATAATACCTCGGGTTGCCCTAGCTTATTCGCATTCTCAAAATAAAGAACGGCACGGTAGCAATGGATATGCGAAAGAAGAAACGCAAGGTCCTACTCATGGGCAAGAGTGGCTCGGGGAAGTCATCTATGCGCTCGATCATATTCAGCAACTATGTAGCCAAGGATGTCCGCCGCTTAGGAGCTACGATCGATGTGGAACACAGTCATGTCAAGTTCATGGGAAACCTGACTTTAAATCTCTGGGATTGTGGCGGGTGAGTTTTTGCAATGGATGGAACACCCATACCTGCTCCTGAGCGTCACTGATTGATGGTGCCGTTCGTTTTCTGACGGCTGGCTTATTACGAGATTGCCAGGCAAGATGCATTCATGGAGACTTATCTCGCATCGCAACGGGAGAACATCTTTTCCGACGTCGCTGTACTTATCTACGTCTTCGACATCGAATCCCGTGAAGTCGAACGCGACCTCGACACCTATTTTGCTATCATAACCGCCCTTCAAGAATTCAGCCCCAGCGCCTTCGTCTTCTGCCTTATCCACAAACTCGATTTAATCCAAACGGAACATCGACGGCGAATATATGAAGAGCGCTCCTCTCTTATCCGCGCAAGATCTGGGTCATTCGCAATAGATACGTTCGGCAGTAGTATATGGGACCAGTCCCTATACAAGGCATGGGCAGGAATTGTCCACAAGCTCATCCCGAACCTCTCTGTCATCGAGCGATTCCTACAAGCCTTCGCTGAGAAGATCGATGCTGAGGAGATCATATTATTTGAGCGATCAACATTCCTTACTGTCACTTCCGTTGCATCGGAGGTTGGCCGTTTGAACCCTATATTTGATCGTCACGAACGCCTCTCGAACATCATGAAGGCTTTCAAGCATTGCGCTGCTAGGAATACGCATACTACGCCGGCATCAGCGAGTTTTCTAGTTATGCATACCAAGACACCGCAGTTTAATGTGTTCCTAGGTCGGTTCACCGATAATACATATATATTCGTCGTAGTCCCACCAGGTGAAGCCGCTTATAACTGCGCTGTTCTCAATACCATGCTTGCCCGTGAAGCGTTCCCCAAAGCGTCAACATCAAGCGGGGGCGATGCTTTTCCCCTGTCCTATGCGGATCTTCCTCCCCAGGGTAGCGTGACAAATGGCCGTGTTGGTGCGCTACCCGAGGCACCAGAGGGTAGATAACCCCAATCTCGTGTTGGAGATTGTATATTAGCGTTGGACGGCTAGTCAGACAAGATAATTATGTATAAAGATACCCTGAATATTTTATCCTTGCATTGGCTTTTTTTTTTTTTTTTTTTTTTTTTTTTTTTTTTTTTTTTTTCTTGTTTTGTGGGGGGATGGGGGGAAGGAGCATTGTTTAGACGGAAGTATAGACGTGGAATTGTGTGGGAGCGTCCGTGAGGGTTTGGTATGTATGAAACTCCTTTATGGGAAAGCCTTCTCTTTTGGTCCATTGGTTATCTGTTTGTAACATGTTCGAGAATAAGCGTCTTCTTTCAATTCTTCCTTTGCTGTTTGCTCCCTAAACAGAATCATGGGCTTTTCCAGACAAAATTCGCATTGTAATGTAATCAATATGCTTCATTAACTACGCCACGGGAGCGTGCCCTTTTCTCTTATTTTTTATTATTGCTTTTTCTCTTTCTTATGGTTCAAGCCATGTAGCTCTGTGTTCTCCAATAGGTGGCCTTTCTCATACCATAGCAGCCGTCCACCTAATATGCCGCTTCGCAGATAGGAGATGCGCTGCGAATTGCTCCGCTTATAATGGGCGAATAACAGGATCGGGCGGCGAGACTACTTGCTTGATGAGAGGACATCCTTGCAGCCTTATGTTTCAACTGCTCAACGCTTGCTACATTCTCCGAAACCTACTGCGCGGTGAAACTAAGGGACGGGGGCGGAGATCGATGCCAGCCCTTCCAGGTAGATGTTCATCTCGGGCTACACATGACCCGAAACAAGCTGAGCGATAAAAATTGATGAATAACTACTAGCTTCGTCCTAACGGCCTCCGACTTTTATGTTTCTTTCCGGCGCTCCCGAGAACTTACTACGATAACGAGGGATTTATACTCCGTACATAGTTACAGCATACTTTTTACTAAATTCATCAGGGCTATAAAGGATTGGATTTAGCTCAGTAATTGGCTTCCGAATAATTAATATGTAAAAAACTGCAATTCTTATGTGCACACAGAAGTTTAAAGTTATCACTGTCTATCTAATCTGGTTGTTGGAGGTTCTACACCAGCTCTAACCTATCTAACTCACACACTGTCGGATTGAGTGTCACGGATGAATATGTTGAAGACATATGAATCTTATGTGTATCAAGATCTGCTTGTTATATTATCCATGCACTATCTAATATATCTATTTCATACAAAAGATAGAGCTATTTATAGTAAAATATATGTGTGAGCCAAGAGAGCTAGTATAAGCAAGTATTAGATGAGTGTTGTAGTAAGCTGATGATGATGATAAGAAATATTATAGTAATACAATGTTGATGACATTCAGTAGTGTATAATCTCTTTTTTCTGACACACTCTCTGCAGTCAATGTAACATGTAAATGAAAGTGTAAATGAAGCTGCAATAAAAAGAGTGTAAATGAATCTGTAGAGATTATATCAAGATAGATTATTTATATCATCATTCTGCTTATATCTTGATGATATCTGATATATCAACTAGGCTTAGCATCTTGACAAATTCTGTATGTTTCTGGTGTGACAGAGCCTTAGTGAGGCCATTCACTGATATCTAGACTGTAGACACTCAATCAACTGTAATATTGCTGAATTGAACATATTCTCAGAGTCAGCTTTTATATATATCAATATGACAGAGCTTTATAATTATAGAGAGATCTTTCTTCATAAGAATATCAACAGTTTGACAGTTATCACATTGAATACAGATCTTGTAATCAGATTCAAATTAAATATATTGAAAGAATCTATCTCATCAGATAGATTTCTTATCAACTCATGAGATAGCAATAAGCTCAGCTTCTATGATAGATGTAGTTATAATTATCTGTCTATTTGATTTTCAATCAACAGTCTCACTGAATAGTTTGAAGATATATTCTTGTATAGAGCAGTAATTCAGATTATCTGTAAAAGAGACATCACTGATAGCTTCAATGATATCAGATTTGAGATTAAGTTACAGAGATCTGTCAATATTATTATCAAATTGAATAGTGAGATTCTTTATATTATATAGATAAGATATCATTCTATTCATCTCTGATAAGTAATGTTTCAATGAATTTATCATGAATATAGCTAGTTTTCTCACTGCATATATAATATCAGAATGAGTCATTATCACTGAGTAGATGTAGAAGCTGATACATTGCTGATAATAATGAATTTTTACAGATATGACTGACTTATTAAAAGGCTCTAACAGAGCATCAGTTAGTGAGATATATATCTTGCAGATGTGTGTGAGATGATATATATCAACTATCTTATCAATATAGGCATTCTGACATAGCCAGAGCTTCAAGTTGAGACAATTGTGTATTATTCACATGTTGAGAAACCATTTCAAATCTCTCATCTGTCAGATCTTGTAGGCATTTTTAAGATCTTTGATTAGTTGATCTCTTTCTTTTAAATCTTCTCATTGTGATAGAATGATAATATCATTTATATAGAAGAAGATGATTAATTGATTATTAAAGAAGAGATATCAATTCTCTGATAGAGAGATAAAGTCTAGTGTTTTCAATATTGAAGATAGTTTATTTAACCAGAGAAGAAATAATCTGTGTAATTTATATAGTACTTATAGAAGTTTTAGTATATAATTTATACACTTTAAATTCTGCACTCTCTTCAACTTTCATTATTTATTAGATAGTTTCATATATACTAGCTCATTAATATCACTATTAATAAAGATAGTAATTTCATCTAGCTGTTTCACATCTAGATTAAATACTGCTGTTAAAGCTAATAAGATTCAGAGATTTCTGACAGCTAGTGTATAAACTTTTATAGTGAGATCTGTAATTGATTGAAGATCTCTGTATATACAGATACAAGCTTTGTATTTCAAAAGAAAATCTTCATCATTGAATTTGTAGATGAATACTTATTATAGAGAAATAATTGAGATATCTCTCTGTAATCTGCTAGTAATTTCATATATATTCTACAGAGATATATTATTCTATTCTTACTTAACAGTATTCTCAAATTCTTTATAATATAAGTGTTTTTTAATATCTGCTCAGTGATTCAGTGAATCTGACAGTTGAGATTTATAAATTCTCAAAGTTAGTATGAATACTGTTGATATAGCTGTATTATTAATAACTATAAAAATAGTATTAGGAAATAAATTTTAAGACTTATTAAAGTCTGTGTAAGAATTTAAATAAGAGAATGCATTATTAATCATTTAATAAGAATTATCTTTGACATTTTCAATTATTATAAGATGAGTAGCTCTGCATTTTCATATTCTGCAATCTTCAATAATATTAGCTTCATTAAAATCAGTACTGATATTATAAGCTCTAGATGTAATGTTTTATATTTGATTATCTATCACAGCTGAATGAGTATTAATATTAACATTGAGATCTGTTGACTCTGGCATTGAATCTGGTGTAGAAAGAATTGAAATATTAGAAAGAATTAAAATATTATAATATTTATACTTATTATTCTTCTTCTCTATTTTTTCAGAGCTTTGAGTATTTTCTTTAAAATGAAAAACATCAATATCTGCATCTATAATCTCTTTCAATTGATTGATAGAAGTCATTGATGATTCTCAAACTTTCATATATAAAAGCTTCATCTTCTTAGATACTCAATCTCTTAGTTGTCTTTCAATGTAGAGATCTTCAGAGTTGAATTTTCTATTCTCATTAAATATCACATCTCTTGCTCTTATCACTCATTCTAAGTGTGGAATTCAAATTCAATAGATGTTTGTAGAATCATATTCAACTAAATATTCAATATATACACAGAGATCTAGCTTCTGTAAGTGATTTCTATTGAGAACTTCATCTAGTATCTTTGCATAGATGTGACATCTGTAGATTCAAAGATAAGCACAGAAGTAAGGTTTGATTTATAGAAATTCTTTCAATACTTATAGAGATAACTTTCAATCTAGAATTCTAGTAAAGATTCAATTCACTAGATAGATAATAGTAAGTGCAATCTCAGAGAAAAGTGATTATAATAGAAGAGATTCTATCTGTAGAGTTCTTGTTTTTATTATTAATATTGCTTCTACTTACTCTGCTGCATCATTTTGTTTATAAATATACTCTAAAGAACACTTCACCTCTAGACCTTCATTATTCACTTAATTTATAAAATCATCTGCTTTTTTGATTACAGTATTATTATCAATATAAATAATCTTTATAGTACAGTTGAATTGATATTTAATTCAATTGATAGCTTGTCTAAGAGCTTTTCAGATTTCAGATTTTTGAATAGCTGTTATAGCTATATGAAAACATAGATAATCACACATGAAATGTATGAGATAATACTCATCATTATAGCACTGTGTAGAACCATATATGATATCTACATGTAAGTATTTAAATGGTATTTGAGATCTAACATAAGAACATCTAGATATTTAATTTTTTGCATTAGATAGATAGCAGGGTTTGCAAAGCTCAGTGCTAAGCTCAGTCACAGCATCTTCTAGATTGATGATTTGAATGCCAGTTGCATCATTTACAAGCTTTTAAATGATAATTTTCAATGAATGTTCTAATCTCTTATATCATATTGACTGAGTAGCTATAGAGATCTTAGATTTTTGAGAAGATTTAGTGTATATTAATAGATTGAATGAATTTAAAGAAGTTGAAGAATTTGAAGATATTATTTTTTCAGATATAGTGATGTTAGATGTATGTGATGTGATAGCTGTATCAGCTTCAGTAGTGAATTTTTCTAAGATAGTTGAGAAAACAGCTATTTCACTATATTCTGTAACTAGCAATTTCTTAAATACTTTAATATATACAAAGATTGTATTATCTATGCATTTTCACAATCTGAAGTTCTTTTCATCATAATAGATGTCTTCTATATGAAAACACAGTTTCCATGCAATGATATTTATATGGAAATTTGAGATATAAGCTGTGTTAGTGAGATTAACATTGAACTGCTTTTCTGCTTCATTTATCATGATAGTTCTAACAGTTTCATAATCTTCAACTTTAGTGCTGAAATTATCTGTATAGACTTCTGCATTCTCATTTGCAGAGATAAAGAATAGAAAATGTATTCAATTATTGCATATATGCTGTTCTGTATCAGTATCAAAGATTCAGGAGTTTCAGAGATAGAAGTATGAATTTGAAGAGTTCATTAATATTTTCTGAATCTGTTGATTGATAGATTAATGATTGATAGATTTAAAAACTGATTACTTCAGAATCATTTCTTCTAGAACTACTTCATTGACATCTATCATATCTGTATTCATAAATGAATCTCTAGATATCACACAATCAATGTGTCTCTTCAATTCTTGATTTTTAAGAGCTTGATTGATCTGAGTTCTCTTCTCCTCATTTTCCTTTCATTCAGATGACTTCCTTGATAAATTGAGATAGTAGCACTGAGCATATCAGTGACAGGCTCTGCAGATGCAGTTTTTAAATATCACTGATGATGATTGCTGAGATCTTTCATTAAGAGTAGCAAAGTTCATAGATTTATCTTCTTTGAGAATACTCATTTCTCTATACCTTTTCTTGAAGTTCTTAACTAACTCTATCAAAGATATGACATCTTTATCATATCAAATATTCTTTGTTCATGCTTGTGTATATTCTGCATCAATAGCTAGATTTGCATTTAAGAAGTCTTTCTTCAAGTTGAACTGTTCAGCTATATTCATCTCTTTGATATCATCTTCAATAAGTGATCAGTCATTTAACCACTTCTCTATACCTCTGTTTTTCAGTGCTTTGCAGAGATCATGATATCAGATTCTCACATTATCTTGATAGTCTGTGATTGTAAGAGAGAGACAATCTCTTAATAATCAGATAATGTCTTTTACATCATCATTCTCACTGCATACATGTCATAGCTCTGTGACATTCACTGTTCTTTATATAACATCTTGTATCTTTGTCATA